TGCCTTTTATACAGGCTGACTTAGACACACTGAGGCCTCAACAGCTTCCACCTGTTGTTGCTGGTGGACCCTTCCTCAGTGATATAGACCACCCCCTTCCTTTCTTGTTCACCAATTTGTCAGACAACCCTGGTCAAGACTCTCAGATACATTTTTGTCTTCTCACTTGGTTTATACTTTTTCAGGATACATAAAAGCCTTTATTATACTTGCTAAAGTTCTGTTACAGCAAATCATTCCAAGGACTACAACCAGGTTACAGCCTAAGTCAAAGTTGCTGGACTCCCAGCCCTAAATCTCATCATTCTGAGTGGTCATCTCATCTTCTGTCGCCTACTCGTCTCCGTCTCACAAAGGCCTCGCAGCCACAGTTAACAGGCTAAGTCATGTTTTGTTATCCACTTTGGTTCCTAATTTCTTACATTTTATTAATGATCATTTTTACAGCAGGACTCTTTAGCAGTATTGCCTACAGACTCCAACATCATGCATACCAGAGACAAGCCTCACCAACCTACCGTCTTAACTTTTGTGCTTTCAGATGGGGGAGTAATCACCTCTCATAACTCCACTCCTCCTAACCCCATGTTTAATTTTCAGAATTCTGCCTTACTGTGGAAATGTTTCTACCTCAACATGGTCCTGATAGAATGATATGTCTAAATCAAAGGCACCTTTCCCTCTACCTCACCTGGGTCCTTAAATATGACAGTGACATGTCTCCTCATAACATTTTGTCTCTTTGTTTTTCCAGTCTGACATACGTGCATTCACCAGTGAAGTTGTCCTGGCCAAAACACCTGGCACCAGCGTCTACCTGGGCATCAACCTTCATCCCGTCGACTCCCCTAGGCTCCAGTACAGCGCCCTTTGCCAGCAGGAAGTAGTTAAAGAGAGAAATCTTCGCCCCTTTTCATAATAATAACCATAAGACGGGATATGAAAGGTTTGGCCCAGACAGGACACTGTAGCCAGGAAAGCCACAACTGGAAGCAGGAAGCCCCATCTTGCCCTGCCCCTAGGAAGTTACCTGTGACGCCATCTTCCCGCCCCTGGGAATTTACATATGGCGCCAAACCTAGGACCAATGGGCTACCTATGTATCCCTAATGCCCGCCTTAGGTTCCACCCCAAACCGAGGCTATTTACAGGCCCCCACGCCGCGTGTCCGCCGGAGAGATCGCCGGACGGATCGCCGGACGCCAGTGGTGGGGGTTGCCGGTCATCTCTCTCCGTGTTCTCAGAATAAAGGCCGCTTTTTATTTTATATTTCTCATCTTTTGTTAATATTTTTCATCTTTTGGAAATAACTCTATCAATTAAGTACAGTATATTCCATATTGAGGTAAAGAGGAATTCCTCCCTGCCTCGTGAAGGGAGAAAGGTCGCAGTATTTGTGGACATATTTGGACACATTTACAGACATAAATTATAGCCCCATGTTTAGCATGTCACATGACTAGTTGATGGCAGAACTGGAATCTGGGTTCATATCCTAGATCTGCCACCCAAGGGCTGAGTGTCCCTGGTCATGTCATGCACCTCTGCATCTTGTTTCTCATCCACCAAATGAGAAGGTTGGATTTGACTCATTGAGCCTTAAAACCCAGGAAGTGTTTGGAACAAAGATACTTAAGGCCACATACAGTGCCTTGCTGTTCTTATGGGAGTTATGTTATCATTTACTTTTCTTACTTTCTAAAAAATGACTCTGTACATGGGGAACAAAGATCTATTTTATCTAGAATATAACTTGTTCCATTCTGCAACCTCCAATCTCAGCAAGCAGGACTTGATTTAACCAGCCACCACGTTAAACAGTCCTGACCGTGTATGACTCCAGGGCCGTTTGAGGTAATTACCCTCATGCGGTTGCTTAATCAAATCAGGCTTCAGAGAGTGGAGATTGCAGGATGAGGTTGAGGACAAACAATCATGTGACAATCACGCTCAAAAATATTTGGAGCTAAGGTGGACTTTAATACTAGTAAAGATAATGATCACGATAATGTCTTTAATTGAGTGCTTATGGTTTGCAGGTACTGTGGTAAATGTGCTTTTTATAAAAACTCTTTCATCCCATAACAACCTCACGAGCAAGATGATGCTACCACCATTTTGTGAATGAGGAACTAGAGGTTGGGAGGAGTAAAGTGAGCTGTGTAAAGGGCAGAAATGGGATTAACTCTGGGTTCCCTGGATTTACAAAACTGTGTGTTTTCTTACTAAATTAAATTGCCTTCTTGTGCTGTGAATATAGGGCCAGGGATTAATCCCAGGGCCGTATGCCTGCTGGGCAAGCAGTCTCCCACAGAGCCACAATCCAAACCTTTTCTTTTTCATTTTTGTTTGAAACAATCTCGCCAGGCTGGCCTTGAACTTTTGATCCTCCTTCTCCAGTCTCTGGAGTAGCTGGGATTATAGGCATATGCCTGAATTTGTTTATTTTTTATAAGAAGCCAAATAATTCCTTAAAATTTTATTTTTAATGAAAATATTGAAAAATACATTTGGTTTTATTGACACCTTTTTAAAGTTTTTTTTTTTTTTTTTTTTTTTTTTAAACTGGGAATTGAACCCAGGGCCACTTCACCACTGAACTACATCTCCAGCCCTTTTTCTATTTAGATTATTTCTAAATTATCCAGGCTGGCCTCAAACTTTTGGTCCTCCTGCTTTAGTCTTATTAAATGCTGGGATTACAGTCATGCACCATTCCTTCTGCCTTAAATGGTGACTCGTCACTGTAAAACACTCATGCAGTCCCCCACAGTGTGATCCTATATTCAACCGAGACAATGATACAGACACAACCCAAACCTACTCCTCCAAAGGCACCCTAAGGGGGCACTGGAAACTGTGTATATGATGACAAGGCCTTTATTTTATTCTACTTTTTGATTCTAGGAACCAAACTCAGAACTTTGATCTTGGTAGGCAGATGCTGTGCTGCTGAGTTATAATCACCAGCCAGTCAACACCTTTAGTAGCTCTGGAAAAGGAAGGAAGAATTTGTTATGGTTTGGGTCTAGATATTCCCCCAAAGCCTCATGTGACCCCAGATAGAGCTCTTTCAGAGGTGACTGAATCAGAGTGTATGATGCTGATTGGTTTGATGTTGCTCTAATCCCAGAGGCCCGGATACAATATAAGGGACAGATGTCCCTCTGCCAAGCCACCCTCACTTGGAGCCAGCAGATTATGAACTGAAACCTCTAAAAACTGTGAGCTAAATAAACATTTCCCTCTTTAACTTTGATGTCAGATATTCTGCCTCAGCAATGAGAAAAGTAAATAAGACAGAATTATTTGAAATATAAAAGAGGCATTACCAGGAAGCTGGGTAAGGGGAAGCAGAGGATAGAAAATGTCTCTCAGGGCTGGGGATTTAGCTCAGCGGCATAAGCACCTGCCTTGCAAGCAGGCAGTCGTGAGTTCAATCCCTGGTACCGCTAAAAAGGAAAAAGACAAAAAAAAAAAAAAAAAAAAAAAGTGAAAATGTCTCCCTACTGCATCTGGGACAGTGAGCACAGACAACCCTGGAGAAGTCAGGTGTGTTGGTCAGCAACAGGTACCTCAGACAAAACAACTTAAAAAGAGAAGAGGATTATTTCGGCTCACAGTTTTAGAGCTTCCAGTTGCTTTGGGTTACGGTAAAACAGTACTGCGGGAATGTGCAGCAGATGAGGTCCACTCCTGAGAGTGAGACACAAAGAAGGAGAGAGGCAGTGGCTTAGAATCACCTTCCAGAACAGGCTCCCCTCCAAGACCTAAAGACAGCCTGCTGGGCCCCATCTACTGGAAGTCTCCAGCTCCCGAAAGCATCGAAGGCAGGGGACAAGCCCTTTTACTGCAAGAGCCTTTGGGGGACATCCAGAGCCAAACTATAGCACAAGAGGTTAAACAAGTGCTAGGAAGTAGAGTGAGATGACATAGGCTGATGGTTGGAGAGCAGGCAGACCACAAAATAAAAAATATGACGAGGGAGGCAGAGGTGTACAGACAAAGTAAGCGAAAGCAACAAGGTGAGAATGTCAGAGACTCACGCTTAGGTAGTGGCAGACAACGTGGTGACAGGACAGTGTAAAACTGCCTTTTCCATTAACATTGGGAGAACTGAGCATTTTAAAATCACCTAAAGAGTTAATTGGAGACAAAGACATCACTAGGCCAACACTGAAGGGAAAACAGGAACCCAAAGAGATAAGCAGAGTTTGGAAGTCACATTTAAACCAGGAGTATTAGCTGATTCCTGGAATCGGAATTTTTGTTTTGGTGGCCTTGTCAAATAAGGGAGAAAGAAGTTGAAAGCGCAGTCTGGCTGGAGACACTTCCTGTAATACCAGGAATCCCAAAGCCCTAATTCCCTGCGGTAGTGAACCAAAGGTCAAGTAGGTTTTGTGTGTCACATTTGAGGTCAGGATGCAGTATTTGGGCACCCAACCCCAATCTTGAACTTGGTTTAAAGTGGTCCCCAGTCACCTGGCAAAAACAGATATACATCTCTCAGACAAAGGTATCTTTACTCTAGATCACAAGAAATTTCTATAAATTATTTTGGGGCATAATAGGCAGCATATAATCAAAGGTAACTGGGCATTAAAAGAAATAAGCACCAATATAAGAACAAGCAAGAGCCAGCAACCAACAGAAATAATCTGAAAGGGCTTTAGATGATGGAATTATCAGGCACAGGCTGTAAACTTTAGCAGATTTATAAAAAGAGAAGACAGAGGTAAAGAAACCGGAAACTATCAAAAGTTACCAAGTGGATTTGAAAAAAAAAATCAAGTAGAACTTTCAGAAATTTTTTAAAAATACAAGCACAAATCAAAGAAAAAAAACTATTTTAGATGCAAAATTATATTCTATCAAGGAAACTTGGAAGCAAAAGTATAACATTAGAATGACTTCTAGCTATAAAAAGAAAGAACTCAAGTAAATGTGTTTTAAATGATAAAGATTTTACCATCTTACATAACAAGAAATCTAGCACTTACCTTGAATATATTGGTTCTTAGTTTATTTCCTCATGGTAGCAAAATGACTGCAGTCCTCCAGTTATCATGTCTTCATACTACATTCAAAAGAAGAAATAAAGGGGCCTTTCTTTTGTGTATTTTCCTTTTAGCAAAAAGGAAAATCTCTCAGGAAGAAAATCCACCAGCACCCAGGTGGCCAGAAGTAAGCCACATTCTCCAACTGCAAGACAGGCTGGGAAAGCGAGTTGCTGACATACTCAGCCTCTGTGATGGAAGATGGAATCTGGAACCCAGGAGGACACGCTCTGAGTCAGTGCCCTGATTCTATGCAGGAAGGGGAACATGGAGGGGGAGAGAAGAAGGTTCTGAAGAGGGAGCACTGAACTATCTTTCAGGGTGCTTAACTCTGTCATCTTGAACCACTCCTTCCCGCCGGCAGCCTGCTAACTGAAGATGCAGGAAGACCTTTCTTCCTGGAGTCGTGGCTTGAGGGAATTATCCTGTAATCTTCCCCAGCTGTCTGTCTTACCCCCTGGAAGAAGTATGAAGGACACCCCAAAGAAATCAGCCCTGCTGTGACATTTCATTTCAGACACCTCGGGTGGGGGCGGTGCAGAAGGACAGGCTCAAGCCGTGGTCTGCACTAGGGGACAGCGCTCACCTGACTCAGAGCTGATGGCTTTGAGGAAGGCACTGCTTCTCTTCAATCCATTTTACTCATTTGGGAAGCAATAAAAGTTGACTCAGTGACTTTGAAAACCTTATTTCTTGTTCTAAAGCAACAATAAGCACCAAAATCAAATTTTAAAAGCTATCAAAGTGACAACAGGGAATTAGAAGGAACCTCAGTAATGCTGCTGGGACTTCCTCCTCCCTTCCCCATCTGCTTCCCGGTGTGCAGTGACCTCATTTCCCACATCAGGAGAAAGGAGGTGATAGAAGGCAGTGTTGAGGGTGCTATGGGTGGCAGGAGGCCTTGCTTCATGGCGCAGTGGGCAGGGGAGAGAGAGAGGGTCCCTTCCAGGGTTAAGGACCCCACCCAGTTCACAGGCCCTGGCTGGGCCTGGATCCCACTGGGAGTTGTATTAGTCAGCTTTCTCCATACTGAGATAAAGTACCCAAAACTCAGAACTTAAACAGGAGACGTTTATTTGGTTCTCAGTTTCCCCTGGGTTCAGTTCATGGTTGGCTGATTCCAAGGCAGAAATGTCATGGTAGAAGGGTCTGGGCACAGGAAAGCTGCTCACCGCATGGCAGCCAGGAAGAGGAGAGGGAAGGAAAGAACTGGGAATAGGATACACCCTTCCAGATCACACTCCCAGCGACCCATTTCTAACCAAGCCCAACTTCTTAGTAGTGCATTCAGCAATGAACTCATCAGTGGATGAAACCTCTCATCAGTGGATGAGTACTGCATACACATGATTCCATACACATGAAACTTTAAGGGGACATTTTAGATCCTAAACCATAACAAGAGAATAAGAGTGGGTGGGACTGGCAATAGATACTTCTATTACTAGGATCTCCACGAGAACCACAGGGAATTAAGACAAGCTATTACTAGAATGTATCAGGGGGAAAAGCCCTGCGTGATACAATTTGTCCCACTTACAAAAATAAAGAAATGGAGACCCAGAGAACTTAAGCAACTTACTCATAACACACAGCAGATGACTACAGACATTCTTCATTTAAGGCCTGAGCTCCATCCCTGCAAGTATGTTGTTAAATGAGTTCAACGCTAAATGAGGAACTGTGTCTATTATGTCATTAGAATATTCAGAATAAAGAAATGGTCAAAGGAAACTCCAACTTGATGACTTGGCTTTTATTTGCATAACTCTTACGTGCAGTACTATAATGAATAACAGCCTAAAACTATAGCACTGTACAATACAATCAGCAAAAATTCCTGCTTTTCCAGTTAGTAAACTGAATCAGACACTCAGAGAAAAGGACATGCCCAGAACTACCCAACAGGAAAGTGGCAGGATCAGAACAGAAATCCAGCACACTGCCCTACACAAAGGGCATCTCAGGGAGTGCACAGGGTGGATTTCAAAGAGGTCCATCCTGGGCTCCCGCAGCCAGTCAGACAGTGTGTTCTCATTGCCCCCAGAGGCCCAGGCCTTGACCTTTAGCAGACCAGCGGGGCCCCAGGAGAGGGCCAGTCACTTTGGCTCCTTAAAACTTCCTAATCTGAGCTGCTTCCCTCATCCTTGCCTATTTTGGTATTGCTTTAAGTCAAACCCAAAACTCTTGGGCTAGGACAGAAAACCTGCACAACTTCCAGATTTCGAAAGGACTGATAGAGCCCTTCCTTTCCTTCTATCCTATGATTGCACAGGCCTTGCCTACATCCCTGCACTTTAGTACCCAGCCTTGCTTGCATACTTCCCTTGATGAGAAACTACTATCTCACATAGTCCAATCTGTTTTCTGACCACTGTAACTGTACTTTTCCAAAGAGCTTTCCATAGGAAACAAATTTCCAAAGATGTCATGGAAAAAGCTGCTTGTGATAATATCTTCTTAGACATTTATACCACAGTAGTATTTTTTGGACTGTGAAAAATGCAGCCATCAAGAATCTTGTTTAGTAGTACTTAGCTGAGAACTGCTCAAATTTATCTAAGTACAGAATGCTTTCTTCAAGGATCACCCACCAATACCCTGTATATCTTGGAGGTGCTGAATCAGTAAGATGAAAATCTCAGAGGTGAAATCACTCTAAAGCTTTGGTCTACAATTTGAGTTACAAAGAAGAAGCCTGGTACTGTGGCTTCAATGTCATTTGAGTGTGCTCCCCAAAGCTCTGTGTGTTGGAAGTATAATCCCCTATGTAGCAAATTGAGAAGTGATGAAACCTTTAAGAGGTGGTGTCTCACTGAAGGTGGTTAAGTCTTTGGGTAGCTTTAGAAGGAACTAATGCAGGTGTCTTGGCGTGAATTACTTCTTGTGAGAGTGGATTGGTACAAAAAGATCAAAACTGGCCACTCCCCAGTCTCTAGCTTTCTTTCTTGTTGGGTAATTGCTTCTTCCCATACATACTCCCACCATTGTGCTGCTGTCTACCATAAAACCCTCACCAGAACTCACATGGAGCTGGTACCATGCTCTTGAACCTCCAGAGTGAGCTAAACAAACGTTTTCCATTATAAAGCACTCAACCTCCAGTATTTTGTTACAGTATCAGAAAACTGACTGATATATCATGGATTAGAGGAGCCAGATATTATATTGAATGCCTTTCACAAGTTACCCATTGTTATGCTTTGTGTCTAGGTGGCCCCCAAGCCTTGTGCAGTCAATGGAAGTAGCTAAGTCTAGCATTTGTGATTGGTTCATTGTCTAGCATGGGGATTGGCAGTGTAAGTGCTTCACCCGCCCAGGGGCAGAGCTGGCATACAAAATAAGGGAGAGAAGGAGGTGTGCCTTTCCCCTTTTTGCCCTTTTGCTCTTGTTGCTTGCAGCTGCCATGAACAGCTCCCCCTCAGCCACGCTGCCCTGCCTTGGAGCCAAGTGCATATGGACTGAAACCTCCAAAAAACTGTAAGAAATAAACCTTTTCTTCCTTCATGTTGGGCATCAGGTATTTTGTCTCAACAATGAGAGAAAAGTAACCAAGACACCTATACCCCTTTTCTAACAGATGAAACGACTAAGGCTTAGAGGGGTAAAATGTCATGCAGCTAGAGGGTGGCAGTTGGAAAGGGAACCCAACTTTAAATATGATGGATACAAAAACACTCAGGAGAATGCTTGGCATACGGTGGATTTATTTGTGCTTCTGTTATTATCTGATTAAAAGTAAGTGCTCATAATTACTTCTTGGAACTTGCTGGAAGTTTCTGCTTCTGAGCTAAATACTATATCCCTAACGTTTTTCCAGATATATGTCCTGTCTTCCTGCTCATTTCCCTACACTGTGCAAGCCAAGCAGAAGGAGTGAGCACACAGGGCATACGACCTTTCCTAGCTAAAAGCAGCCTGTCACTAGCTGTTACCACAGAAGAACGCTCACCTTGCGCCTAAACCTTGGCAATACCATGGAAACAGCATCTTCAAAAAGTCACAGAGGGGAGCCAGAGAAGAGCAAGGAAAATCATGCAGAGGAGAAAACCTTCCAAACCAGAGGCTGTCAAATTCAGCATTGATCAAGCTAGCTGGCTGCCTTAGTGTGTTCATGCTGCTATAACCGAATGCCTGAGGTTAGGTAACTAACTTGTAAAGAATGGAACTGTATTCTCTTACAGTTCTAGAGACTGGGAAGGCCAGCATCAGGACACCAGCACCAGGAGTGTTATCACAGGGAGGAAGGCAGGAGGGCAAAAGGGGCAAACAACTCCCCTGTTAAGCCTTTTATGAGGGTACTTAATCCCTTTTATAAAAGAGGGACTCTCATGACCTGATCTTCTCTTAAGCCTCCTCTTAATACTACCACACTGAAATACCTGACACATTGACAACACAGCAATCCCCACAGGGCAAGTCCAGCTCTCCTGCTGCATTTGTAAATAAGGCTTTACTGGAATCCATTCATATGCATTACTTGTACTGTTTTTTGCATTGTCATGAGAGTTCTGTAGTGGCAAGGGACCCAAAACATTTTCTACAAGGTTCTTTGGAGTGGTAAGAGCCTCACACATGTTAGATAAGGACTTTCCCACTGACTGACATGCCCAGCTCTTTTAAAATTTTGAGACAGGGTCTCATTAAGTTACCCAGGCTGGGAATTCAACTTGTGATCCTCCTGCTCACCTTTTGACTAGTTGATAATATACAGGTTTGAACCACCATTCCCTGTACCCAGTAACTCACAATGAGTTACACCCCAGCCCCTGACCACTTTTTAGAGACTCTCACTCAGCTGCTCAGGCAGAACTTGAACTTGCTATCCTCCTACTAGCCTCCTTAGTAGAACCCTGCCTACCTGGGCTTCAAGTTGTAGGGAAGGGAAAGATGATGACGGAACATTTGTAAGGAGCCAGCACCTGTCTTTTATAGTTGTCTTGGTTACTTTTCTCATTGCTGAGGCAAAATACCCACACCCAAAGTCAAAGGAGGTAAGAGGTAAGGTTTATTTTGGCTCATAGCTGGTAGAGCTTTCAGTTCATAGTGGGCTTGCTCCAAGGCAGGGTGGCTTGGCAGAGGAGCAAGACAGAGGAGAAACAGGTCATGGCGGGCAAAAGGCAAGAGGGCAGTAAAGCACTGATGTTAACGAGAAAGCATCAGCAGCCTGCCTCCCCTTTTATCCCTTCTAGGGTACCCACCCTTTGGTGGTATCACCCACCCTCAGGTTGGGCCTTCCCACTATCCACACCCAGAACTACACGAAGCCACTCAGTGCAGTACTTAGTAATCACATATCTTTAATCCCAGCGTTGCATCTTTAATCTCAGCACTACATACCCTGAACCCAGCCACCTCCAAAGGCCCCACTGTGGCTGCATGAAGCTTTGGGCTATAATAGTTGTTTTCCAAATGTTCTTTAAAAAGCCAGTTAGGAAGGGTTAGGCCAGAATGAGCTGTCTCTGAAGAATTTAAACAGGAAGAAGCTGTTTTCCACTGAAGGCACAGTGAAGACGCGTGCAGACTCTGGAGACTCCTGCAGCACCTCAAGGCCAGGCACTGTGGCTCTCTGGGAGGTCACAGCACTGGCCTAGCCAAAGACAGACTAGTCATGGGTTGGCCTTGTTCACTGGATGGGAAGAGACTGATATCAGGGAAACTCCACTGGGATACTGATCAGGTGAGAGGAGACCTGGTGGATGGCTTTTTTCCCCAGTACTGGAGTTACACTCCTAGCTCCTCCCCTGCCTTTTAGAGACAGAGTCTCACTAAGTTGCTCAAGCAGAACTTGAACTTGCTATCCTCCTGCTTCAGCCTTCCAGAGTGCTGGAATTATAGGCAAGCACCACTATACACAACCCAGATGATTATCTTAAGTGACAAGGCCACTTCCACCATGTGAAAAGAAATCTTAGTCTGTCATCTGTAAACATTCAGTTCACCTAAATAGTACTCTTGTTTTGACTTCATGACCTCAAAAGCACTTTCTGGTTATGACTTGGCTGCTTTCCATATAGATCTATACCTCATGTCCTCGGTGGGCATAAGAGTGACACATAATGTTGTGTGTCTGAGAGAAAGCACACTGTTCTAAGGATTAGGATCTCATATTCATTAGGTTTCCCAAGGGATTTATGGGCCCCAGGAAAGGGACCCAGAGTTCCTGGGTGTGCAGTTTCATTAGGCGTTCCTCCCATCGGTCCCCCTGCAGGCAGGGACTTTGTTTCACACACCATCATTTCTGTGGCCCTCAGTTCTCTGACTGCCCCAGAAGACACACTTATTATGTGTGTGTTAGAGCAAGAATGCAGGCAGGAAGGAAAAAAAATTAGATCTAGAGTGTCCCCAAAAGTCTCATGTTTTCAGATGTAGGGCTTCAGATGGTGACTGAACCAGGGGGTGCAAAACAATTCATGGAATGGTCTACTGATGAATTCATAGCTGAATGTGCTGCTGGGAAGTAAGTCCTGCTCAGAAGAGGCAGGTTCCTGGAGGCATGAGCCAAAAGGGTATATTCTTGTCCCCAGCTCTTCTCTTCCTTATTTGCTTCCTGGCTGCCAGGATGTGAGAAAAGTTCTTTCATTTTTGCCATGACCCAGCTTAGTATGGACTGAAACTCTGGAACATGTGAGGCAAAATAAACCTCTCTTCCTTTGAGTTCTGGGTGTTAGATACTTCCACCACAATGCTTCTGCCTTGGAGCCAGCCATGGACTGAATCTCCTGAACTGTGAGCCAAATTTAAAATGAAATTGTGGGTGTCTGGTATTGTGTCAAGCAATGAGAAAGCTGACTGATACAGAGGATGGGAGGAGGGAGGTGCAGTTGTTCATGCAAGATCTTGGTCCCTGAGATAGAATTTTTGTTGTAAATTAATAAACTGACCTTCTGGCTGGATACAGCAGTCTCAGGAGCATAGTTAGTGGATTTTTCTGTGGGCCATTGTGCTGCTCCCAGTGCACTGTCAAATCAGGATTCTTAAGCTCTGAAACTCGTGGCCAACGCTTGGACTTGGGTGAATTCACACGTAGTGCTCCTTGAGGCACAACTGCTGGCTCTCCTGGCAGAAGCAGAGGGCTGTGCCTTTTCATAATTGCATTTCTACTGCCGTAATGGCATCTGCTACTTCTGCAGTGCTAGGGATGTTGAAAGCCAGTGTTGAAGCACCTAGGACAGCACTGGCATCCAATAAGTGCTCAGCAAACATTTATTGAATAAATGGATATAGCACTATCTGGGGTAAGCCATAAAATGCAGATTGTACAGTTGCTTTTGCTATTAAGCCTAAATCATGGTTGAATAACGTCCAACTACTTACCGTAGTCTGCAACCACAGACATCCTAAAAGGCTGGGAAAAATTCAGGGCAGCACATCCCTGAACACTCACAAGTGCCTGAGGCCAAACCAACCATCTTGTTGGAGGAGTTTTCAGGCCTGGTTTGACATATTACATCAGGTGGTAGCAGTTTGTCACTGAGGAGACAGCAGGCTCCAGCCTTAAGAAGAAAAAAGCAATTTCAAAATGAGACATGGTTGAGGCTGGTGTGGTGGCACTCATGTAAATCCTAGTGCTTGGGAGATTGAGGCAGGAGGATCATGACTTCAAGACCAGTCTGGGGCTACATAGTGAGGCCCCTATTTTAAATTAAAAAAAAAAAAAAACAAGATTAGATTGAGAATTTCTAGGTGTTTAGTGAAAACTCACAAAGCTGGAAATTATTGCTCAGCAAGGGCTACCACACATCATGTCTCCCTTTCATGTCTTAGGTAACTGTGAATTTTATGCTTTTATTATCTTTTCAAGGCACATTTGTGCACATACCTCAAACAACCTTTATTTCTTTGGGAAAAAAGTAATATATGCATATTATTATATTATCTAGTCCCATACAATGTTACTCCCAAACTTAGCAATTTAAGGCAACATATATCAGTTCTCCCCCTCGACTCTGAGGTCAGGAATCTGGGAGGAGTTTATCTGGGCAGGTCTGGCTCCAGGTCCCACAAAGTCTCAGGAAGGCAAAAGGACAGTGGCACTGTCAGTGGGGGCCGCAGTCTCATTCAAGCCCAGTGGGCCCAGGACTTGAGCTCACCTTAGCCACAGGCTAAGCTCCTCCCTGCGTGGTGAGCCTTACAGGGCACACAGGGGTGCCTGCACCTCTGAGACAGGTAGAGACACACAGCTTGCCAGAGACAGGCAAGGAGAGAGAGAGAGACGCTATAGCTTTTTACCATCTTGTTTGGGAGTGCCACAGTGTCTGTTCTCCATGGTCACGCAGAGTGACTCTGGCACAGCACAAGAGAGAAAGGCAGAGAGGTGTGGCAGCAGACAATGGCACCAGATGGGACAGCAAGAGACTGGGAGGGAGTCTGAAAATTCATCTATAGATACCGTGACATTCCTACATTTGTAACATGGAAGCTGCTGGACATGATGGCACTGGTCTCTAATCCTAGTGCTGTCAGAGGCCGAGGCAGGAGGATTGTAAATTCAAGCCCAGCTTGGACAATTTAGTGATTTAGCAAGACTCTGTCTCAAAACAAAAATAGGGGCTAGGAATGTTAGCTGGGTTTAATCCTGATACTGAAAAAAAAAAGTGGAAACCTGATTTTTAATTTTTCTCCCTTCACATATGGCTAGACTTCATCACTGAAGCAATTAGCATGGGGTGGTAGCTGGGTGTGGTGGTACACATCTGTAATCCAGCACTCAAGGAGGCCAAAGCAGGAGTATTATTGCAAGTTCAAGGCCAACCTGAGCTACATAGTAAGTTCAAGGCCGGCTGGAATACTAGCAAAGACCTGTCTCAGAAAACCAAAACCAAAACCAATCACAAGAATGAGATGGTGGTGATGGTGTGTGACTCTGTGGGCACAGTCATGAAGGGCACTGTGATGGCCACCATCTCAGGTCACTCTTGTGGAAGAGCACAGCATCTGTGTTGTAACTCTACCAGCAGAGCAGTCCTCATAAGAGGAACAGTCCTCCTGTCAACAGCCAGCACCATCTGGCCAGCCGCAGGACAAAACACCTTCCAAATGCATCCTCCCGCCTAAGCCCAGCCTATGGGTGGCCACAGCCCAGCTGACAGCTCTGCTCACTCTGAGCCACAATCACTAAACTAAGGTTCTCAAATTCTTGACTAAAATAAAATGAAATCACAAATGTTTATTATTGTTGTTTTGTTTTGGTAAGTCTCACTATGTAGCTCAGGCTGGCCTTGAACTGGTGGCGATCCTCCTGCCTCAGCCTTCCAGGTGAGATTACAGACATGTAATCTCATGTCTGTAAATTCCATGTTGTAATCTCATGTCTGTAAATTCCAATGCCTGAGCATTTATTACCATTTTAAATCACTACATTTGCAGGCGATTTGTTACTGAATTTCAATGATTTTACTTGTGATAACCGTACCTGTTTTAATTAGTTTCAGCAGACAGGGTAAGTATTAAAGGAACTTGATAGTCCACTGAATACCCAGAAAGACTCAAGGCTGAGGCTTGGAGTACAAACTCATGAGCCCTCCAGTGGAGGGCCTCTACTTCCCTTGCTGCAGACAGTCCCTCTACACTCTAGCAACAGGGTGCTGCCTCCAGGACCCTGGTGCAGCCATGTTGCTTTTTCCACTGCTATACTCCTCAAGAATGTATTTTACATGACACTTCCAAACCAAGGACTTTGTGTTGTATGCTTATTCACCAGCACGATGGTTAGATTCATGCCTCAAACTTGGCTGGACCATGGTGCTCACATAGTTGGTCAACTACAGTCTGCATTTTTCCATGTAAGTGTGTTGGAATGAGATTAACATTAAATCAAAGGGTTCTGAGTAGAGTGTGTTTCCTAGGGTGGATGTGCCTCATCTAATCAGTGGAAGGCTTTGATGGACCAAAGAGACAGACCTCCTTCAAGCAAGATGAAGTTTGCTGGCTGGTTGCTTCTTGAAACACAAAATTGGCTTTTTTCTGGTCTTCATATTTGTGTGACTCAATTCTTTAAAATAAATCTCCTCTCTCTCTCTCTCTCTGTCTCTCTCTCTCTCTCTCTCTCTTTCTCTTATTGGTTCTCTCTTTTTTTTGGAGAACCTTGATTAGTACATCTAGTTACAAGTGAGGGTTGGAAGCTGAATTTCTGAAGGATCATTAAGACTCATACATGGGGAGATTTAGCTCAGTGGCATAAGCACCTGTCTGACAAGCACAAGGTCGTGAGTTCGATTCCCAGTACCCTTCCCCTCCAAAAGAACCACTCATAGATGGGATATTCTGCACATAGGAAAGATATTCTAGTTGCTGGGGTGCCACCAAGCCCCCAAATCCTAACCAACAGCTATTATATCTTTGGTTTTTTTTTTGGTTTTTTGAGACATGGTCTCACTATGTAGCTCAGGCTAGTCTTGAACTCACCATGTAGCCCAGGCTGTAGAATTTGTGGCCATCCTCCTTCTTCAACCTTCTAAGGCTGGGATTACAAATGTGTGCCACCATGCCCGTCATTTACTCATAATTTAAATCATTAAACATCATAGCACTCTCTTACATAAAATTACATTTACCCTCAGTGACGTCTCTTCTCTCCAGTCCACTGAGGAAATCATGCACAATCGTTGATGAATATCCCTCAAGCTATTTTTCTAAGTTGAATACTTTAAAGGTGTTTCAGGCACATGCTTGGTAAGAATCCAGGGAATTCTAAAGGTTTAGATTTAAACCTTTAGAAATACTGTAGTCTTGATTCTGTATACACCTTCTTTCATTTATGTACATTTGTAATGAATGACACATCTCTCAAGAGATTTTCTAACTTTATCTCTTGATTCAAATTAAAGTCCGACTATAATTCCTTCTCTAAGGAATGATACTGCATGCCCCTGGGTAACTCTGGAAGTCTCACTTTCATCAGAGGTGAGAGGTAGTTCTTTTCTGGCTTGGATAGTCCCATGAACTCTTATTAATTCATATTCTTTAAAATAGGAATTTATGATTATTCAGTCTTCTCCAGGTTGAAGTTTGCTTTTCATTTTCTGTGGGCAAAGCGATTAAATAAAAAAGCCAAATTGCAAGACTATTTCAATAGCTACAGTTTTAGATGATTTTGGCATATAATTTATTAGGTTCAAATGGAATCTTCTACATAGAAGTAATTTTTTCCTCTAAGTTGAAAGGAGCACAGATGAAGACTGATTCTATCATAGAATCTTTAAGAGTTTTCTGACAAGATCCCCATAAAGTTTCGTTCCTAGCTTTAAACTACAGCAAAACTGGAATGCATGTGGGACTTTTGAGTTTAATAAAGAACATTCATCTATTATTATGACTCAGGAATAGTAAGTTATCTCATAATTAGCCCAGAGGAAGGAGATCCCAGAAGATGGCTGGAGTTGTCCTGGAAGACAGAAAACCTTCTGAGAAAAGTGTGCAAGCAAAATCCAATGATTATAAGTATAATTATGAGTTCTACAAATGCTTTAAAGTCAAAATAGCAGCCTGTAATGATGCAAGTCAACTTTCTGAGCTTCAAGTTGGGTAATTCTCCTTCAACACAAAGAAGCCAGGCTTATAACCCCAGCCTGCTCTTCTTGGTGATAAACTCACATAAACAAATGGATCCACTCATCCCTTGAAAAAACTGGAAGCATTTGGGACCAACAGAGCACAAGGGACAAAAATTTAGGTTTCCTGTGGCCTTGTGTCTTTACCTTAGTGAGCCATGCAGACCTGCATATAGAATACAGCTAGGAGGAATATACAAATGTGTGGCCAGAAGAGTTTAATATATAGAAAGTAGATAAGGGACTGCATGGGGCCTAGATTTGAGGCAAAGGACAGGTGGGTGGGGGGAAAGAAATCGGCAGTGACCACTACTGGCTATGCAATTTCCTTTATTTTTCTTCTCCCTTCTCTCTTTTCTTCTTTTTCCCTTCTCCTCTTTCTCCTTGTCCTCCTCCTCTTCCTCTGTATCTTAGTTACTTTTCTCTCGTTTTTGAGACAAAATACCTGACGCTCAAAGTTAGGGAAGGGAAGGTTTATTTCTTACAGGTTGAAGGTTGCCATCCATACTCAGTTGGCTCCAAGGCAAAATGACATGGCTGAGGGGCAGTGGTTCATGGTGGTGGCAAACAGCAAGGGCTAATAAGAAAAGGGAAAGACATGCCTTCTCTCTGCCATTACACTTATGATGGCTCCACCCCTGGGCGGGTACAGCACTCATACCACCAATCCCAGTGCTAGACAACAAACCAATCACAAATGCTAGATTTGGCCGCGACCATGATTCATGAGGCTTGGGGGAGGGGCATCTGAACATAAACCATAACTCTAGGCAAACATGCTACCACTGAGCTACAGCCAAGATCCCTCCCATCTTTTTAAAAAGTTTTGAGACAAGGCCTCCCTGAGTTGTTTTGGCTGGACTTGAACTTGCAATTCTCCTGCCTTATCCTCCCAAGTATCTGGGATTATGGACATGCACTACCACACCTGGTGAGAGTTTTTTATGATGTGATGAAAACGTTCTAAAATCAATTGTAGTAATCATCACACAGTAACAGCCATGGGACTGTGTACTTTCAAGGAGCGAACTGTGCTATGCATAAATTATCTTTCTATAAGTCTGCTTTTTTAAAAAAGTGATTTATGTTTTATTTAAATGCAGACATTATAGAAGCTAACAATCAAAGAGTGAAACCCCTTTCCTCTCATCCCAAAGTATTACATGTGTGCAGATTGATGTGTATCTTTTTGATTTTTTACTCAGCATGAACAAACACTGCCTTTTATCTGTTCTATATCAAATTGCCCATCAAGCTATCTAATTATCATCTATCTATGTAGTCCTCCGCTTAGTCATCCAGAATTTACTCATACCCGCCAGGAGTGAAAGAGACGTATATGATGAATAGTGATCAGATTGAACACCCAGCTGCAAAGATAGGGTTCTTCCTGGTGCAAGAAACAGAAAACATGGCTCAAGCCACCTCGAAAACAATACCAACAAAGCAATGAGTAGGTTTTCCTTACACAGGAATTTTAGGGCAGGTCTAGTACCAAAAATAGCATGATTCAAAGGGTCAAGGACATCTTTGGGATCCTGTGTGTCTGTCCTCCCTCTTCTATCCTTAGTCTGGCTTCATTCTCAGGCTCCTGGAATGTTCTTCTGGTTGTCAGATGTCCAGGCGGAAGTTCAAATCAAGTGCAATCTTAAAGATCACATCTATGGGCTCTGGCCACCCTCCCTGAAAGAGGTGACCCAATGCTCCACCAGCACACAGGGGTGCGGGCTGCATGGCGTCCTTGCTGTTTCTCCCCAGCCAGCAGGGCTACTGCCTCTGGTTTTATTTTTGCTGAATTCCTGAATTATCTCTCTCCACAGGCTTTAAGTTTCAGTTCAGGTTCTTCCTGTGTCCATAGGACCCACCTCTCTCCTCCTTCTCTTCCTCATGTTGCTATATTCTAGAATCTGGACACCAAAACATGGAGAGATTCTTTCTCTGCTGCTCACCCTTCTGCCATTATCTTGGAAGTAGTAGCTAGGTTTTTAATTAATAGTGTTGAGTTGGAGGCGTCTTTTATTCTTTTAAATTTTTATTTTAGATTTTTTTGAACCAGGAATCAAACTTACAACCTCATGCTTATCAGGTAGGTGCTGTGCCACTGAGCTAAATCTCTGGCCCCGAAGGGGCCTTTAAAGGTGATGATCAGTCTTGATCCTGCTTGTATATCCTAGTTCTTCTTGATAACTGTGTTTTGAATGACTGAAGGAGGAGTGAGTCTCTGGCCAGGGAACTACCATAAACTGATTGGCCATGTGACCCCTATAAAATGCCTGTAATAGAGTTGGGAAGGTGGTACCCTGAAGGAAAACCAGGGTCCCATTAGCAGAAAAAGGATAACAGGAATGGACCTTGAGGGATAAAAACCACAGACGTCTACCATATCAGCTAACTTTAGATGTGGGTTTCCCAAATGTGAGATGAAATAACTTAGTGCTACATTGGAATGCTGGATTTACTACTTGCTAGCTTTTGCAAACTGTTTCTTTCTCTAAGTCTGGGCTTTGCTCAGGAGTAAAATAAAAAATAATCCTAACTCTTCAGGGATGGTTGCAAATACTATACACTAAGTGGCCAGGAAGCAGCAGATCTTCAATGGTGTGTAGCTCTTATCTTTTTCATGGCCCTGCTTATCCATTCTCCATTCCCAGTGATCATATTACTTTGGGGTTTTAAATAAGACCCACTGCAAAGCACATTTTAAAGTTCTCCATTATATATATATATGTATTGAATGATCACTACACTTATTATTATTATTGCTATTATTATTGGTCACTATGTTTTTAAAAAATAAGTTATCAGAGAATTTGGCCTTAAAATTTATTTTATTTCCCCTAGTGTGGTGTCATTCTGACACTGGAATCTGTCAGCAAACAAGGATTCAAAGGGGATCCCTGGCTAGCGTGATTTTTAAAATAGTTAACAAATGCTCCAGCTGGGCACTGACCAACTGGAATGACCAATTAGATTAGTCAGAATGGATACTGGCCTCCCATAGTCTGCTCACTGAACTAGGATGCCCTGTTTGTTGGCTGGTCTAGACGGGAGTCACTGAACCATCCCTACACTAGACATCAGCTTAAGGTCCCAAGACTTCACACCAGGAGCGGGCAGTAGCTATGCTTTCCTACTATCTGGAAAGATATTTTCCATCCCAAGTTACAATCAAGATAAAGATGCTGGAATGGAAGCAGCCCAAGCCAAGAGGAGGCTCCCAGACGTCTCTATACCAAGTCTCAGTTCTGACCTTTGGCATCATGCCCAAGGTTGGCTGATAACTCACAGCCTTCACAGAGGACAGGGGACTTACCCATGACCTGCAGAGGAGAGAGAAGCCAATGACTGGAGCCAGTGCCTAGTTCTTCAACAATGAGAGCCGGGTCACAACCTCCGCAGGTGACTGAAGAAGAGGTGGCTTTTCCTGCAATCGGAGATCAGAAAACAGTAGGCAAGCTGTGAAATTCAGAATATGGTAATGTGACCAGATACGGCTGTGCCTTTTTCTTCTCAGCATTATACAGTCAAGACTGGGAGAGCTCATGCCCTGATTTCCTAGGCAGACCATTCTGGAAGCATCAAACACGGACTCTCAATCCTAGTCCAGAAACTGCAGATGGTTGCTTTATCAGTCTCCACCTTTAAGCATTAGTCATTATTTAGCCTTAAGACATCTTTTAAGTAATTGGACTCTTTCCCACTGGAATTTAAACCTATTTTAGCTCTTTGTTTACAGATTATACTACTGTCACCAAATTTATAAATTTTGTCTACTTCAAATTCAAGTCAGAATTTAAAAATTATAGTAAAATACACATAATGTAAAATTTATCATTTAACTTTTGTTTTTTGATGTAAGTTTGTGCTATGCCTCTCAGGCTGGCCCCAAACTCAGGATCAGGAGATCTTCTTGCCTCAGCCACCCAAGTAGCTGGAATTAGAGGCAACATCACTATGCCTGGCTATACTTAAGCCATTTTTAAGTATACCTTACAGTGCTGCTGAGTGTAGTCACATCATTGTGCTATCACCACCACAACCCATCTCCAGAATTTCTTTTCTCTCTCCAGACTGAAACCCCATCCCCATTACACAATAACCACCTCCCCCACCCCACAGTCACTGTCTCACTTAGCTCTGAGAATGGGACTCTTCCAGCCACTCCTGTAAATGCAGTCGAACTTGCCCTCTTATACCTGGCTTGCTTCACTTAGCCTAATGTCCTTGACATTTACCTGCGTTGAAATGTCTGTTAGGATTTCTTTCCTCGTCAAGGCTGCATAACACTCCACTGTGTGCTGTGGTTTGGATATGACTTTCTTCCCAAAGCTCATGTGTTGCTAGCTTCGTCCCCAAAGTAAAGGTGTTGAGATGGTGAGGCCTTTAAAAGATAATTAGATCATGGGGTACAACCCTCAAAGGGACTCAGGTAGCTTTCAGAGGACTCTGCCGGGTCCTGAGGGAGCAAGTGGTCCTACAGCAGCAAGCCGGCCCCTCCCTGCTCTCCTGCATCCTCTGTCAGGAGTGCTGATGGTTGAACTCCTGCCATGTCATGCTGCTGAGGTCAACTAGATAGGGCTACCTGATCTCAGACTTTCCACTTCCAAAATTGTGAACTAATTAGCCTCTTTACTTCATAAAGTACCCAGCATCGAGTATTTTGTTATAGCAACATGAAAAAGACTAAGACAGTAATATATGCACATTTTCTTTATCCATTAATGTGGATGTAGATACTTAGGTTCTTTCAACTTTTAGGAACTGTGAATAATGTTGTGGTAAGTTTTAAGATTCTTATGTTTTTCCTGGAATTCATTAACTGGATTCACAGCTTGAATAGCTGCTCTTATTTCTATATTAAATGGTCACTGCAATGTGCTCCAACTGGAATTCATGATACATAACCTTAGAGATGCAATACAAAGTATATCATACAAAAATTGTTGAGACAGGGCCTCTAGGTAGCCCAGGCTGGCCTTGAATTCACTAAGTATCCCAGGCTGGCCTCAAACTCATGGTTAATCTCCTGCTTCAGCCTCCTGAGCGTTACAAGCCTATGCCATCATATCATACAATTTAATCCATAAACCCCTTTTTCAATGCCATCCACGTGGTTTCTCTGTCATAGCCAATGTTTGCTCTTAGCTCTTGCCTAATTAGTCACTAGAAATGCAGTCCTCACTTTTACCTAATCATAAGAGAGAGTTCCATTTGGTCAACAGTTGGATGATAAATCATGAAAAGGAGGATCTAGAAATGGGTGGATAAAATCTTCTTTTCTTTCTTAAATACTCTTTGGTATATTCTGCATTACCTACCACGTATTGTATTACTGTCCTAATTAAAGCCAGAAAACAATAAAAAGTGGAACAATATGGTTTTCCTTTTGATTGGTTGTAAAAACCAAACCCCGCATGAATATATTTCCTTCTAAAGGAGAAGTCAGCATGTATCTACACAGAGATAGACAGTAAACAGCTCAGGCTTTGTGGGCCATTTGGTCTCTGTTATAATTACTCAACTCTGCTTTTCTAGAGCAAAAGTCACCACAGAAGATGTATGAAAAGTATGTGTGGCTGTGTTCCACCAAAACTTTATTTATTGATGCTGACATTTTAATTTCATACAGTACGCATTCTTTAGTCCTTAGTAAAAATGATTCACAACTTCTAGCTTGCACAAAAAGACAGCAATTTCAATTTGGCCTGCTGGTCACGGTTAGCCATCTCTACTCCAAAATATTAAATAGACTAGATAAAATAGAAAGTCCTCTCGATGCTTTACACCAACTTCTGTCCTCTCCATACCTTCTCTTGTGGATGTGTATCTTCATTTTATTACTTTGGGTTTTTTTTTTTTTTTTTTTTTTTTTTGAGACAGAGTTTCATTATATTGCCCAGGTTGGCTTTGAACTCATAAGCCACTTGCCTCAGCCTCCTGAATAGCTGGGGTTACAGATGTGTTCTATCCTACCCAGTTCTATTACTTTTTAAATGGAAGATTTCAATCCAAGCATGGTGGTGCAAGCCTATAATCTTAACACTCTGGAGGGTGAGGCAGGAGGATTGCCCTGAGTTGGAGGCCAGCCTGGGCTACATAATGAGTTCAGCGCCAGACTGAACTACAGATTGAGATCCTGTGTGTGTGTGGGGGCGGGATTCAGACAAATACAAAAGCAGAGAAAACAATGTATAATCCTTTCTGTAACCATCTCTGAGTTGTGTGACAGTTATATCCCCACTCACGCAATCCATTTCCCTCATTGTATCCTCACATTTATCTAGATATTTTATGTATCCATAAAGACTTATCCATAATTATTGTACTTACCCATAAATCCTATTTAATTTGTCCATATTAATTCAACTATGACATTTACCCACAAATAAGAAGTAGGTATTTCTAAAAGGTAATGCTTCATCTTAAAATACCACAACTAAAATAAATAATAATAACTATAACTTAAAAATGCTAAGAGCATAATTTCAAAAAACTCATCGAGCAATAAGCATGACCTATGACACGGTGGATTTTGTTAGAACACAGCAGTTTGAAACAGAGACTGTAAACTGGATAATCCGTCCTTGATCTGATGCTTCCCTCAGTAGTCATTCAAGAGAGAGAAAAGGCGTTCAACCTCTCTGTGCCTCAGTGTCCTTCTCTGTGAAAGTGGGGATGTTTAAAGTGTGTGTTTCCCGAGTTGCTGGGAGAGCGAGTTAGTGAATACCCAGAAAGTTCTCATCTTGGAATCCCAAGTCCACAGCGCCGGGGCTGAGCCTGAGTGGAAGGTGTGTGTGGCAGGGAGTTTTGACTGCAGCCACCTCACAAATGCCTGAAACAGGGATAAGCACAACCTGTGTGACGGAGAAAACCGGAAAGTCAAAGCCAGTGGTCTGCGGGGCTGCCCCTGCTTCCTCCCTGGGCCACGCGGACTCCTGCGTGACTGGGTGTCTGCCGTGTGGCCTCAGCTGCTCCTACCCTCTGCACCTCTCAGCCTCCGCTGCAGCTTCTGTCATGCACAGCTGTTTGGCTCTGTAGTCTTTAGAGTTTTAAAAAAATGGTTTTAAGTATTAAGGACTAAACCCCTAGGGTCTTCACACTGAGCTCCATTCTAAGCTCTTTAAGGAAAATATTTTTTTTCAAGGGAGGGTTGAGCTAAATTGCTAAATTGGCCCCCTGACCCCCTTGCCTCAGGCTCCCAGAGTGCTGGGATCACAGGCAGGCACCACCCTGTCATTCAGAGTTCTTGAGAGAGAGTTGATGGCAGCCTTGCAAAAGGGAAGTGTTGTCCTTGCCTAGAACAGGGTATAGAGTTTACAAGGTGATCGTTTCAGAGACCTTGGTGAGCAGCTTAACCAGTCAGTCAGAATAAACTGGCCAGGGCTATGGTAACAATCCCGAGGTCCCTACGGCTTGGTGCCGCAGCCATTTATCTCCCATGTATGTGCACAGCCATCAAGAACTGGCTAAAGCTCTTGCTTCCTCCTGAACCCAGCTGCTGTGAACAACGGCACGGTCTGACCAGGTCTGGAAAGAAATCACATTGGTTCTTATACTCTTGCTTCCCATGTATCACTTCTGCTCACAGGTCGTGGGCCAAAACCAGTCGTGTCCACGCCTGTCTTTGAGCAGGCAAGAAGTTGCATTCCCACTGCGTGCCCAGAAAGAAGCAACGGCTGAGCGTCATGCGTGACACAGAAGGGGAGGAACTCAGCTATTCCCTATCCTCTTCTCCATCCCTATATATAAATCATGTATATAAAAGGCATTCAGGGAAGGCAATGCTGAGCAGTACCCCCCAGCATAGGCCTGTAATCCTAGCACTCTGGGAGGCTGAGACAGGAGGATGGCAGGTTCTAGCCAAGCTTGGGAAATCTAGTGAATTATCTCGACCCTGTCTCCAAATTTAAAAATAAACATGGATGGGGAGTAGCTGGGGATGTAGTTTAGTGTGAAGATCTTGGGTTCAGTTCCCAGTGCTGAGGGGTAGATGTATAATCCCTTTCTTCTTGGACTGAAACACTCATTCTGAGTCTTTCCTCAGTAAAGCCTTTCCTTGAAGCAAAACCAATCCTAACTCCGAGTTTCTCACACAGACCAATTTTTCTTTTTTTGTTTTTTTGAGACAGGATTTCACTAAGCAGTTCAGGCTGGCTTAGAACTCACTTTGTAGCCTAGGCCGGCCTTGAACTCAAGGTGATCCTGCTGTCTCAGCCTTCCAAGTGCTGGGATTACAGGTGTGTGCCACCATGCCTGGCACCAAGGCTGTTTTCATCTAAGCCACGGAGACCGCTTGAGAACCTCTCCAGGTGCTTCCCATTTCTCTTAAGATAAACAAGCTGAAATTAGTCAGAAGACTTAGAACACCCTGCTGTGTGACCAATTGTGTACCTTTCTGAATGATACTGGTGTTTTCTCTGACAGTTGCTATTCTGCCCACTCAAATTCTCTGCCAGCTCCCCGTGCCCCTAACAGGGCTCCCCTGGTAGAATTATTCACTCAGAATTTCCACATCTTCTGAATATTTCCCCTAAGATTCCTCCTGGTTTTGGTGTACCACCTGTCTAATAGGTCTCTTTCAGATTTCAGTATTTTCACAGTAAGGCAACAACTGTTCTGGTGTCTGAATAAGCCCACAGCAAGCTCTATGCACTGTTTTTCTTACTAGAAAATCACATTGGCTTATTGCCTGTATAACAGGGCCAAAATTTGGGTATGCAAAAAATAACATTAAAAAATGTCTGAGCCAAGCATGGTGGCACATACCCCTATAACCCCAGCATTCCAGGAGGCTGAGGCAGGAGGATCGCAAGTTCCAGCTCAGCACAGGAAACCTAATGACTGCAGGACACTACCTAAAATTAAAAAGTAAAGATGTGGGGGTGGGGGGGCTGCGGATGCAGCTCACTGCAAAGGTATCACTTGGAGAGTGGATTTTCCATTAATTAGTCTTATTAATTGCTGGAGTCCTCATTCAGTGGAGTATTCAACTTCTTCTGCCTTCAAGTTGGCCTCTGTCAGGTATTCAATCATTGTTTACATTCCCCGTGAGACTGTTTCTTGCCTCTTAGGAGGCTGCCATGCTTTCTACTCTCAAGATGACACCAGTGGACAGCCCCGATGTCAAGCAACAGTAGGACAGATGAGTAAATCCTGGCATCATCACACACTGGGAAACCATCTGGTCACAGAGAAACAGCTCGAGACCACAGCACCAATGACTCTCAGTGCTACGGGGTGGAGAAAGTCAGACAATTGAAACTATATATGATTTCACTTCTGTGAAGTTCAAAAACTAACCTGCAGGCTGGGCATTTAGCACATTTCTATAATCCCAGCACTTGGGAGGTTGAGGCAGGAGGCTTGCAGTGAGTTTGAGGCCAGCCTAGGCTACACAGTGAGTTCAGGTTCTGCCTGAACTGCATAGTGAGATCCCGTCTCAACAAAAAAATCGCCATTAACCTGTGGGTGTAACAGGCTATAAAGTGGTTGTTTTCAGTAGGGGGTAATTGTGTGGGGGAACACAAGAGCTGGCTAGGGGGCTGCCTTCTAGGTGGTAGCCACGGGGGTAAACATTCAGCAGGCACTTAGGGTTGGCATGCCTCACCATGTGCGTGCCCTACCTCAGCAAAACCTCAGCATCTGCAAAGGTGGTGTCTGGGTATGGGCAGAAGTTTAACTTGCTTCAGATGTTGGGGGAGAAGCTCTCTTCTCCGCACTCTCTGGCCACCTTCAGGCCATCATTCTTTCTGAACAGCCCGGAGCTTCACAGATGCCCCTGAGCAGTGTCTGGTCCCTGCTCTTTGAGGAGCCCTAGGCCCAAGGCCTCTCTGCTCCAGTTAGGAGCTCCTTGACTCAGATCCAGACTCCTGGCTCACTGGTCCTCAGAATTTCAGCCCTTTCCCACCTCCAGCAGGAAACCTTGGGGCCCTAAAGAAAGAAGCCTGGTTTGATGTTAGGCTGGCCTCCCTGGATTGCTTCTCTCTGTTATTTCTACCCCCACCAACCTGGTCCCTCCAGCAATCCGGTTTCCCTGTGCCAAAAGGGCTTCCTGTATACCTTTCTCACTTGACGGCAACTGCCTGTAGCATTTCCTTGGAGGGACCAATGCCTCCTCAGGCCCAGGGCCTGTGGTGGGAGAAGGGCTGGCTGCAGGGAAGGGAACTGCATCTACGTGCGCGCAGGAGCAAGGCACACTGGCTGGTGGCTTAAAGTATCTTAGACCCATTGCCCTTGATTTTTTTTTTTTTTTTTTTGCAGTCTATTTTTTTCATCACGTGATTTGGATGATTCAAATCAGTGTGCTTAGGATCAAACCACTATATTTTAGCAGTGAAGGAGTTCTTCAAATGACAGCATCATTCTGAATTCTAAGTGGGATCTTTTTTGCACTGTGTGCTCCTGGGCAGTGAATACATTTAGCATCTTGGCTCCCTACCTCATTGCTCTCCACACACATAAATGTCACTCATCAATCACCTAACCATCGAAAATATTCCTCCTGCATACCCAGAGTTCTACATTCCCTGAAGGATGGCTTTAGCCTAAAATGTTTACAGATTTAAAAAAAAAAAAAAAACAAACAAACAAACCTGAAGCCCAAAGCAGAAAAATGACTTACCCATGCCAGCGACAAATCAAGGATGCAGCCCAATCTCTTGATTTCCAGTTTGGCGAGATTTTTTATGCCACCCTGCTGACTTTCGATTTAGGTTTGAGGAACTGACACAAGGCAGTGTGAGGGAACTTCTGTTTCTCACCGAATTTCTGCTTTCCCACTGGTGTGGAAGCTGTCCCTGTTACTTCCTCTTTCCTTCCCAGAGAGTGCCAGGGCCCCGGGCCCCCTCTCAACCTGAGTAGCCCTGGCAGTGTCTGGGAACTTGCTGGCAGACATGCCCAGCCCAGACCTCCCCTGTGCAGACTTTCCCTCCCTGACCTTGCTAGACAGCTGTGCAAATGGGCTGCGCTCAGCTGTTGCTCCTCTGCCCTCTGCATCTCATCATGAATCAGTCACAAAGTCAGAGAGCGCACAGAGGGATCTGACTCAGTAAGCTTCATCCTAATGTTCTGTGCCCTTCAGATATAAAGAGCGTGATACAAGAGAGGAGCCAGCTGGGGGGAGATTTCAGCCAGGGAGCTGGGAATGCTGCACTTAGAACTGTTTGTTCCTGCCGGGCGTGGTGGCTCATGCCTGTAATCCCAGCACTCAGGGAGGCCGAGGTGGGAGGATCGTTGCAAGTTTGAGACCAGCCTGGGCTGCAAAGTGAGCTCAAGGCCAGACTCAACTGCGTAGCAAGACCTCGTCTTAAAAAAAAAAAAAAAGAAAAGAACTGTTTGTTCCTGCAAGCATGTATTCATTCATTCATTCATTCATCCATTCATTCTAGCAGACCAGGTCTACTGAATGCTTACAATGGCTGCGTTTCAGATGACACACGGGCAGATACAGCACACCTATTCCCTGTCTTTGTAGATTTAGAGTCTTCAGACTGAGCTCAAAACCTGGTTCTGCCACTGAAGCAACAACAACAAAATGAAAATACAGTTACTACAAAGAGCAGCGTATGTTTACATATGGGAAGTAACTAGACCGATTCTTAGCACACATGTGAAGCCACAGCTATTATTATTACTAAAAATGTAATCGTCCGTTGGTACAATTCCTGTTCCTACAATATGACATGCACATTTAGCTGAGAACTCTGTATGTTTCAAAAAATTGTGTTTAAAAGACTAACATTCCAAAGTTGTGCAGTTGCACATCATAAACACATATATTTGCGGTGTGTATCACAAGCAATGTGTGTGTGTGTGTGTGTGTGTGTGTGTGTGTGTGTGTTTTCTGGCCTGATAATCAGGATTTCTGTATTCTAAGCTCAAGACCATGATAAAACCAATGTATGCATACTTTGTGAAGACCTCGGGGAAGGAGAAAAATGACATAAGCATGAGCTGTTACTATTCTGTTCTCTTCCTGGCCTCCACTCTTGACAGACACTTTACCTTATTTAGCCTCTGCTGCCTGGTTTTAAACCTCTAAATAGATCGGTTATTTCAGGCTGGCCAAACCCTCGAAATTATTTGCCAGCAGCATTTTGGGGAACGTATCCCCTTACTGCACGAGCAAGAGCACGCAGCGCGAAGGCCTGCGCGGCTGCTGCCAGGTCTCTTCCCGCAGAGCCTCCGCTTGCACTCCCCGGCTTGGCTCACAGAAGGCACAGGAAAGAGCCCAGCTTTGAGGCCAAGCATGTCGTCTGCAGAGAGTCACAAAGCTCACAGACCTCACTGTCTTCATTGGTGAAGTCGTGGGAGGAGAGCAGAAATTTAACTTCGCAGGACTCCCGGGATAATTATATAACTAAGCTAATGATTATAATACAGCTGCTCTTAGCGCGGGGTGTTATGGTCCAGCACTATAACTCCAGCACTCTGGGAGGCTGAGGCAGAAAGATCAAGATAAATTCAAGCCCAGCCAATTTACCATCTTAATGAGACCCAATCTCAAATAAACAAACCAAACAGAAAGAAAAGATAAAAAAAGGAAAAGACTTGAATGTAGTTTAGTGTGAAGGCCCTAAATTCAATCTGCAGTACCACCAAGAACCAAAATAGAAGAAACATAGAAGGCCACTCCTCAATGGCAGTTAACGACTAGATAAAATTTTTCATTACAAGAAGGGGCTTAGCCTTAAAACACAGTGTCTCATGCAGGGGTGGCTTTACCTATGTTATGAGGGTAAAACATCTCTGAGCTTTCCCCACTTGCAAAAGTCCTGGGATTGAACCCAGAGCCTTCAAGTTGAACTACATCTTCAGCCCTCCTTAAAATTTTCCAAACAGGGTCTTGCTAAGCTGCTAAATTAACTGCCTAGTTTAGGCTCAATCTTCTGATCCTCCTGCCTGCCTCCCAGAGTACTGATCACAACCCTTTTATGTGGAAGGAAAGGACATGTCTGCTCCAAGAGGGCGGAAGCAAGGAGGGGCCCAGAAGGAGAACATATCACACAAGAGGTGGCCAGAGTATCAGGGAGACTTCTCTAAGCATGGCCTGATTTCCCTCCGGAGCTGGCCGAATTTCTCACAGCTCGTGGCAGATCGGTGGGGTAAGGGATGATGGTTCTAGAATATCTTGCTGTTAGCAAAGCTGAATGTCTTTAGGTGCCTCAACTTGCTCATCTCCATAGGCAGACTTTTCCCTGCAGTCTTTCAGATAGTCTGGAAGCTGCCTGCACACGCAATGCCTTATGGCCTCAGTATTCTGTATACTTTGAAAAGACTTTCTTATGTGTTTTTTTTCTTTCAACATTATCAAGTCTACTACATGCTAGGTGTCATTTTTGGAACTGGGATCCCAGCACTAAAGAGGTTACCCCAGGCCCCAGAATCCTTGAGCATGAGTCTCCAGGACAGGGCCAGGAGACAGGCACATGCCATGAGTGGCTGCCACATTCAGAGGTGGAACATGTCCATTATTACAATTCTATTGGGCAGTGCTATCCTGGAACATTCTTAACATTTTCATTTGAACACTGAATTAAAATCACATGGGCAGTTACATTTGCAACGTATTTTTCAATTAAAAAGAACTGTTTTCTTGAAAAACTGAACTACCTAGGTCATGCCCTGCAAATACCATTTACTGTTAAGAGAAACTCAGCTTTCTAGAGAAATGGCTGACTTAAGTCTAAATTGAGAAATGTATACAACAAGCCTGCACCACTAGTCAGATCATAAGGCAAGGAATCTGTTAAGGATGGCTAGGGTCAGACTGAAAGAACTGGGAACTTATCTACAGAAGTTCTCGTTGACCAAAAGTAGGAGAAACAAGCATCAGTGAGAATCACCACGAAGGCCTGAGTCACAATGTCTGGGTAACACCGCATCAGTTCATAATGACAGTGAAACACATATTCTCAGTTCCTTTGTAAAATGACAGGAAAACAGTCCTCTAAGACTGGCAAGTAAACAGAATGAGTCAAGCATTTATTCTGTCTTTCCAATAAGAATTATGCCTCAGAGTAACCATAAATCATCAAGGAAGAAATCATTCTGTCTATAGAAGTATTCCAGTGAACACTTAAAAAAGGAATGCAATAATTGGGCCTATTGAAACAATGGATTCAGCAAATGATCATCAGATCCCTGGTTGGGAGACCTTGACAAATGGACTCACAAAAAACCATGCAGTGAGAACTGAGTGTTCAGCCCTGAATCACTACCTGTGGACTAAGTCTCTGCCACTTCTGAGCTCTTTGTCATAGCAGCTTACCCTGCATCGTAACTAATAGAGATGGCTGACTAAAAACTGGGTATAAATAACACCTGTGCAGCTCTCAACACATTTTATTTCCCTATGACAAAGGTAGGTAGCACACTCCTGTCACACTGTGGAGGTCTGTGAATCCACGTGAGGTGTCACTTTGATGATGTGCCCACAGCTATACACTCAAGGATTGCTTTGTAAGGCAAAAATCCTCCATTCAAGTCTTTCATCCCACATTTTTTTCTTACAAGTCCAATGACAAGGAGGGTTTCACAACATCTAAGAACACTGTGCTCCGTTCCTATTTTTCCAAATCTCTAGAGCTTGTCTTTATGATTCTTCCTTGGAAAGAGTATTTCCCACCAAGAGCCAGCTCACTGGCCAGCTCTGGCAGAAGGATTCCATTACAACTAATAATGGGACTCAAGTACTTTAGAAGCTTTTACTAATTGAGCTGCTGAATATCCCTATGAAGTAGGTAACTATTATCGTCCCCAATTACTGTCAAGCAGCTGAGCTGCAGAGACATTAAGTGGCTTGCCAAGATCGTACAGCAGACTCTCAGGCACAGCAAGTCACCTCACGGAGGATGAATTTCAGCCCCATGCCAGGACCTAGAATTGGCCTGAAAGTTAGGAGACCTGTGGTCTGGTGGCAGCTGTGCCCTTAGATACCGAGAAGTCACTTCCTTTTTCTGGGCTAGTGAGTGTGTGTGTGTGTGTGTGTGTGTGTGTGTGTGTGTGGTGTGTGGTCTGAATTAATCTGCCCTTCCTCTGGGGCTTTCCTACTGACAATGGACATGGGGTTCCCCTGACAACACACACCTCCACTGCTGATACTCGGGGAGGAAGCTAACTTTGAGAAAGAAAGATTGAAAGCAGAGAATACTTTCCACTCTCTCTCTCTCTCTCTCTCTCTCTCTCTCTCTCTAATAATGGGAGTCCAGAGCTGAGCTACCTCCTTAGCATTTCCTTTATTTGTTTTTGTTTTTTTTTTTTTTTTTTTTTGATACCAGGGATCAAACTCACGACCTCTCACTTTCCAGGCAGGTGCTTATGCTGCTGAGCTAAATCCCCAGCCCCTAGCGCTTCCTTTAAAAAATTTTTTGTTGTTTTTTTGAGGCAGGGTCTCATTCTATAGCTCTGGCTGGCCCTGAACTCACTATGCAGCCCAGGCTGGCCTCAAATTTATGGCAATCCAGCTTCCCAAATCCTGGGGGTTACAGGCACTCATCACCATGCCTGCTGCCTTTTTAAAAAAATTGTTGAGAAACGGTTTTGCTAAATAATTAATCCCAGGTGGTGCTCAAATTTGTGATCCTCCTGCCTCAGCCTCTCCAAAAGCTGAGATTATAGGACTGTACCAACACACCCGATAGTGGAGACATCTTGTCTTTAATGGAACGAGGCTGCAAAGTGAAGAAAAGCCTGGCCTGAGTGGTTTTGGGTTGCAGTGCGTGGAGAACAGCCTTGCATGGGCAACAGAGACAGGGAGCTCACTGCTCCCTTCGAAAGTGGCAAGGTGAGGCCTGGAAGAGGGCCTGCCCCATCTTCCCATGGAATCCCATGGAAGCTACAGGCTGCTCTGGCTGGGATATGCAGGGACCCTATAAAAGTATACTGTCCAACTGGATGCCCCTAGAGTTCCCTCTCAATGATGCATGTGCACCAGAGTTCATTGTGGTGGACATCTGCCATGGGCCCTGCAGAAGTGTGGCTGGGGGTTTACCCGTGCT